AAAAGGAAAAAGACAAAGGTTTGACAAGCATTGAGGGTGAAGGAGGAAATGAGCCAAGAGGAAAGAGACATAAATCTATGATTTGGGATCACTTTGACAAACTTTAAGCCAAACAAACATAGAACTTCGAGCCAAGTGCAAGTATTATCTAACAATAATTGCTTGTCACTCCTCATATGGGACGAGTGGATTACAAAAACATGCAAAGAGGTGTGTCTTGAATCCAAACCCAGTTAATAAGAGGACACAATCTTTGTTGTTAGGATCTCAACTAGGTTCCTCTAAAACATTGAGTCATTATGTATTTAATCAAGATAAATGTAGAAAATCTGTTGTATTATTTATTATATTAGATGAAATGCCTTTTCAAGTTATGGAAGGTGATGGGTTTAAACAAATGATGAATAAGATAGAACCTCTTTTTCACTGTTTTGGACTGTATCTTGAAGAGGCAAGGAAGTTGAAAATGTATTTTAAAAGAACAAAAGTTCATGTTTCCTTCACTATAGATACATGGACTTCTTGTCAAAATTCCAACTTTATGTGCCTGACTGCTCACTGGATTGATAAGGAATGGACATAGCAAAAGCGAATTTTGAATTTTTGTGTAGTTGAAAACCATAAGGGTGATACAATTGTATCAAAAATAGAGAAATGCTTGTTAGCTTAGGATATTGAGAAAATGTTTACTATCATATTTGATAATGCATCTTCAAATGACAATGCAATAGCAATATTGAAAGATGTTTTGAGCCACCGGAATGGTCTGGTATGTAATGGAGCCTTCTTGCACTTGAGGTGTTGTGCACATATTTTGAATTTGATTGTTTGTGATGGTGTGAAGGATATGCATAAATCTATTGAAGGCATTCAGAATGCCATTGAATATGTGAGATCTTCTCAAGGAAGGTTACTTAAATTCAAAGAGTTTGTTGAGAAAATAAAAGTTGACTCTAAGAGTCTACTAACCATGGATTGTCCAATTAGGTGGAATTCAACTTATATCATGTTGGAGAATGCCATTAAATTCAGTAGAGTCTTTCAAAGAATGGAGAAAGAAGATAATGATTATACAAACTATTTTATGGAGAAAGCATTAATTGTTCCTCCTGATGCTTCGAATTGGAAAGATGCTAAAGAATTTGTTGTGATTTTAAAAGTGTCTATGACATCATTTTGGAATTTTTAGGATCACCTCAAATGTATGCTTCCAACACATAGTTGATGTGTTTGTTATCCTAGATACAAGGGAAAATAATCATAATTTTTTTGGCACTTGATATGGCTAAGAGGATGCAAGGTAAGTACGAAAAGTATTGGGCAAGGTTAGAAAATCTCAATCCTTTGTTGGTGATAGCAATGTTCTTGAGCCCTAGGTATAAATGAAGTTTTTGAAGCTTGGTTTTAATGAGATATTTCCTGATTCTACACAACCTGAAACTATGACAAATAAAGTTACAAATGCCTTGTATAGTTTGTATGATTTTTATTCAAGTGGGTATGAAACAAACACATCTGAATCTCAAAACCAAAGTTAGACACAAGCATCATGTGACCCTGCTAGTTTAACTTAAGATCAGATGGCAATGTTGGAATCTAGGCCTCTACTACAACTATTTGTTGTCTAAACTAAGATTGAGGTTAAAACAGATAAGTATGCAGAAGTGGACATTTATCTTCAAGCTAAGTTAGTTGATGTGCTTCATCCTAATTTTGAAATTTTGGCATGGTGGAAACTAAATGGTTCCAAGTACAAAATCCTTTCATCGATTGCACGTAATATCTTGGCTATGCTTGTATCCACCGTGCCTTCAAAATCTATATTTAGTACGGGAGGTCATGTCATTGATGAATTCAAAAGTTCCCTATCATCAAAGATGGTTTAGGCACTAATTTGTGCACAAAATTGGTTATCTCCATCTACATCAAAACTAAAAGGACTTGATATTGATAGCTTCAACAATACTGACATTGGTAATTTCTATTCTTTATTTTATTTAATTTATTTTTTCGACTTTGTTAAAATACTAATAACAAATTGTTCTTTTTCTTGTGTTTCTTTGCGGAAGAGCAATTAATAGCTTCAATTTCAAATCTCTTGGAATGTTAAATTGCTTTGTAGTTACTTTGATTTAACCTTAATGTCATGGATTTAAATTTTACATTATTGTGTTGTGCTTGTTTGGTTTTGGACCCAAACGTTATGGATTGATACAATTGTGTTATGACTGTCTTGGACTGCTTGGATTGTTAGTTGTGACTTGTAATTGAGATTGGCTAATGGTTGTCTTGGTTTTGACAACAAATTAAGAGTTAAGTGTTGTGGTTTAAAATATTAGGGGTTTGAACTTTGAATAATTGATTCTTTTTCTTTTTTTTGGTACAAGTCTGGATGAAATGTGATGTTTAAGAGTTGAAACACAATTATCATTATTTGCCACCAAATGATGATGTTGAAAGAGGCAGGGGAATTACTTAATAAAAGTGTCCAATTGCATTTGTTACAAATTATTTTACATAAACTTGTTCACCAATTTCAAAGGCCCAAAGTAAACTTGTTCATATTTTTTTCCTGGCATCAATAGTGCTAGGCCCAAGAAAGACAAACAAGAAGAAATTTTTAATCATTTATTATTCAAGCTAAAAAAGATTGTTAGGCCCAAAATTAAATTTTTAAAAAAGGAACTGGACGAGATTGGACACAGGACAAAAATCCCGTCGTCCCGTCCTGTCAACATTCCTAATCCTGGGAATAAAAATTTAGATATTATAGTGGGATAGTGAGTTGGCCCAAATAACTGAAACCCACGCTGTTTAATATGTTGTCTGACCCAACCCATTTTGTACGGCAACCTATATAAGCCAACTCATATATGATTCGAGTTGATCTGGATTACCACATCTATTAAAATTTAAAAATAATAAACCATTTTTCATGAGAAAGCCTCTAATATGAGTATGTTTATATTTCAAATAACAATACATAGCTCAAAGCCTCTAATATGAGTATGTTTATATTTCAAATAACAACACATAGCTCAAGGTGCTGAATTGCATGCAATATTTAGGGATAACTTTGAAAGTTTGTTTTGAGCTTTGATCGTAAAGTTTAAGTGTGATTTTTTCACTTGAGCATTTTAATCCTTTCCCATTCAGGAAGAGACCCACGCAATCACATATAGGGGTGCCACTGTAAATTGTATTTCTTTTGGTTTTTATTATAAGATATTTTTAATAAGAAATGACTGTTAAAGCGTTAAATATGTACTAAATTAATAATTATTTTTCAAATTTACTCCCAGCTTAAATGGGCTAGATAGAGAAACACAAAGTTAGAAGAGCTTATTAACACTAAATCTTAATTGATAACAAGGGTAAAATTGAAAAGTAACAATTAAAGAATTAGTTGACAACTTACATTTAGGATCAAAAATTGCTTCTAGAACATGCTCTATGATAATGACTAAAGGGAGTAACACACTTGAGTGGAACACAGTATCAACTTTCAGCTAACAAATTATAATACATCATACATACCAGACTTATTAATGAATCTATGTTTCAAAATTTATGTATTATGATATACTGTTCTGGTCCTATATTTAAGTCATTTGTACCTCATTATCGCATACTAAAAAATACATTAAATAGATAAAAAGTTTTACATTTGCCTTTATTGGAGAAAATGTACTTGGAAAAAAAATGTACATTTTTTGTCACCCGTTTTCTTTATTGTATTCAAGAGAGGTAAAATTGATTAAAAAATATTATTAATTACCTCACAAGTAACTTAGATATAGAATTAGAGTAGCATCAATTAATATAAAATTTATAAAAACTTAGAATTGAAGTTAGGCGCTTTTGAAGGTATGCACTCATTTTCATGATCACTGGCTTGAAAAAGATTCCCCTGTTCTTCTTGTTTTTTTTCCCCTTTTAATCTGTACTTTATTGAATTATCATACAGAAACCAGAGCTAGTAATTTTGAACATGAGATTCAATAAACATTTTTGCTTATGATATTTTCTTTTTGGGGAAAAGAAAGATGCGGGTCACTGTTGATTCATCAAAAGCTAGCTTATTTAGAGAATCTTGAAAGCAGCTGCAGTTTTCTTTTTGTTAATATAATCTTTGGTCCTTTAATTTGCCTTTCATTTTTCGTTTGATTTTTTAAATTTCAAACTATAAGTTTTAGTCCTCGAGGGGTAAAATGATCCAAATTTTTAGTGAATTATAGGAACCAATGTTATAAATAAATAAAAAAAATTGAGAAACTAAAATCTATGACTTAAAACTTAAAAGATCAAAACTAAAATAAAAACAAACTTGATGAACCAAAATTTGCATTAACCCTCTTCTTCATTTTAATCGTTGAATGTTTTTTTTCCCTTTACTCAACCAGATCAATTGCATTATGAATCATCCCCTTGTCATTGTCTTCCATTTGACTTGTCAGTAAGCTTGAGTCTGTGCTTCCATTAATATCAACGTCAGGTCCCATTTGGACTTAATGGTCAAAATGGAACTTAGCCATCTCCTTATCTCAGTGAATTTTTTGACATTTAACTAACGAGGGAAAGAATTACACACATTGACTTCAAAATTTTGCTTCATTTTGCCACTCAGAGTGTTATGTGCACAAAAATTGCTTATTTTGAATGAAATATAACATACAATAAGGAATAATCTTGAGGTTATCAAACTCTAAAAATAATGTTTGATTAAAAAATAACAATTTAAATCATATAAAACAAATATAAACAATCCAAGAGAATGGATATTCTACTGATCTCCTCATGAATGCTAAACTACACTTGTTTTCAAAAACCCTGATGTTCTTACCAATATTTTTGTAATTATAGAGAGAGAACCGAGTTCCAAGAGAATACAACGTTAGACCAACCAAATGTTCATTTTATCCATAATCACACAGACTGTTTAGCCATAGAGTGTATGCACCCTCTTAGGCAAAGCAATGAATGAGACTGAAGTCTCCAGCTTTGAACGTATAACAATCTCCAACGTTTTGATTGATTACATCATGAGATTCAGTATAACGCTAAATGTTATTTCTTATAAATAGTTCCATTCAAGCTCTATTACAAAAGGTATCCAGTGAAGCAACTTCAATATCAGCTTCATGTGTACAGAAGAATTACAATTACAGCTATTACAGAAAACGGCAATTAGATTTCAGTCAATCCCAAGAGACTCAGACTCCAGCAACTTACAGAGCGGGTCTCAGACGGTAATTTAAAGCATGAAAGAAGTATTTGCAGCTTTAGATTGAGAATGTGATGCTTTACCTTTTGGAGTTTTACCAGCTGAAAAGATGAAAACAAACTTGTACCCAGATTTTATTCCTGTTTCTTCCTGCTACACTCTGAACAACTTCACGGACCAGTTAGTATTCTTCCCATGTTGGGAGGGCACGGATAAGAGGAATGGTTCAAAGATGGGCCATCACTCAGATGTTCTCTAGAACCATATGGATTTGAGCTACTACTTAGAACACTGAAGTATGGTGGAGCAGGGGAATTGTGAACAAACTTGAGACTGGAATTGCTGGAGTGAGTTTGACTGTTCCCAAATTCAGAGAGCGTCAATTGCCCTTGTCTGTTTGATATATTTTCAGCAGCTGATCTAATGCCCATCCCAAGGTCGAGGCTAATAGAATCACTTTCTTCTGGTCTAATTCCTGTTGGCCCCCCAGTAGCAACTGTGGGTCCTGCTGTGTCATGGCTAGTGCTCCTTGCAGTAGGCACGTCATGATTGTGTTTACCTTCGTAGGTGGTTATTACTGCTTTGGGATCATGAGATGCCCTCTCCACGTGTTTTCTAACGGGGCAACCAACATTTGTGCATTTGTAATAACTCCTGCATGCATCACAGCCCACATAAAAACACTTAATGTTCGTTCCATGCTTTCAAACTCTTGCACAAACAGACAAGCAATCGCAGTGTAATCATTACAAAGAACATCTCGAGATTCATCAGCCAAGTCAGTTATATCTTCAAACAGATTGAGATGTGGTTATAAAAAAAGGGAACAGATTGAGATGCATGAATCTTGAACCAAGTATCAACTCTGCAAATTCTACTTATTCGTGCTGGAACAAGATAACTGGATGAGATATAGCTAAACTTATAACTACTTGCCCATAAGCAGTCAAGACCTTGAGGAAATGACATCAATAATTGACATATTTGGGGTCATCTACAACAATCCAAAACCAAGGCAATAAAAAATAACTTGAAGTCCCAAATAAGAATAGAAAGTATCCCAACTCATTCTGCTTTGTTATATGGAGATCTGGCATAATTTTATCACGTCATCGAAATTTGAGTAGACTGTAATAGTTTTGTGCCAAAAAGGACCAGATTACTTATAAAGAACAAGACTCTACGTGTTATTTTTGTTCCAGGATATCAGACAAGTAAAGCACTTCAGCATAAAGGTAAGCCAAAAGAAAGTATGACTTTCCATCGATAAGAAATGAGTGCATAAAAAATATTTTACAACATAAAGAAGTCCTAGATATTGTCCATTTTATAGCAAACTTCAATCATGTAAGTTGTCATCCTTTTCAGTGTTTCCTTCCAACTCAGTAAGCCTATATTCGTACCACCCATAATCATATATTCCTTTTTTGATCGAAGTGTATGTTTAGACATTTTTCTCAATATCTAACAGCCTAACATTGCTGTTTGATCCATCTTATTTCAACACTGTGTTTACTTCATTCTTATCTTACTTAAACAACCAATATGTGTTTTATTACTCTAGTCATAAGTTCTATTATTTTAGACATAACTCTTCTCTAATATCCCATATCACCACCTGCTTTTCATGCAAACACCATGGGCAAGTAGCATATACCAGCAATCTCGGTGATATCAACATTCCACCTTTTATAACTTCACAACTGTCTTGTATCTGATATATCAAAGCAAGGAAAACAGAAGACTCGTGAGTCGTATGAGGTGGAACTGCATGAAAGAGTCAGCTGGGGGATATCCTCTATGGCTCTGCCTAATCCTGGCATAAGCCAAACATTCGGAACATACACCACTTGAGAGTCCTACATACTCGCCACATTGTTATGTTAAACACACTATCTACAGAAATTCCCTACAAGTATATCCTACTACTTAGCATCCCTAACAATAAAAGCATCATCTACACTCTCCACATGGTTATCATTAACATTATCTACTGAAAATCCTTACAAGATCCTTCCCCTATTTAGCATCTATCATCTATAACCAGTACCGCAAACTTTCTCAATTGAACCATTCATGCAATTGATGCTTGAACTCAGTACTTTGCTTAAAAACACCAACAAAGAAAGACACATACCAAAAGTTCTGGAAAGGGGAAAAATATTTTCAGCCGCTTTTATGTTGAAATCCACATATATACTAAATGCAATCATCTATGAAAATAAAATACTCCCTCCAGTCCTCATTATAAGTGACTTGTTAATATCTTTGCATTGATTAAGGAATTAAGTTAAAAGTAGTTGATGCATTTAAATTTCCAGAATAAAGGATAATGAATCAGTTGAGAGGTTTTTTAGTTAGTTGGGAAATATCAAAGTAAAGGGCATTATTTAGGGGAAAAAATTTTGAACAAGTCACAATGGACCTTATTACTATAGAGAAGGATCTCATAATAAGGACTGGAGGGAGTACAAGTAGAACAAAGATTTCATTTAACTTTCACAATATAATCATGCAAAATCAATTACTGAGATTTCATACATAATGATGTCACAAAAGACACATCAAAATGACAGAATTGATTATAATTTATACATGCTTCAACAACACCAGATTATATTAATCCCTTGTAGCTTAGACAGAGCAAAACATTGAAATTGTTTGCCAATTAACGTTAAAAATTCATTTGATGGATGGCATATTTCCATCTTGATTAGTCAAGCTTAAGCTGCCTACTCATTAAAATTAGGACATACCTAGGGTTAGGATTGCCTCTCACCACCTTCTGTCCATACTTACGCCAGCGGTAACCATCATCCAATATGTCAACCTCACTTAGTGTTTGCACAACAACCCGTGGTTCCCGGATTGGCTTAACTATAGGAGTGATGTCAGCATTTCCAATGTCCATTTTGCTGCCCAATGAAGTACTTAAAAGTCAGGAAGAGAGCACATGTTGCAGGAAAAAAGTATGGAACATTTGTCATAAAGGGGGGGGGGGGGGGACATTGACCTTCCACCAAAATTATCATACCTTCTCTTTGAGAAGGGATCATCATCATCATCAACCTCATCATTGACCCTATTTGACACTAAGCCAGCACCCTCTGGACTATCAGCAGGCATGGGAGATTGATCTGGGTTAGGGTTGGGTTCAGCTATGTGAGGCACCAGAGCATGCATATTGGATGATTTGTCTACAAAGCAAAAATCAGGGAGGGAAAAAACAGATTATTTTTTCCCAATATATAAAAAAACAATTAATATCAATGAGAAGCATCTAGTTGGTATTACCATCTTGGCTGGCTGACAAAGCCTTGTCTTTCAGTTCTCTCTTTGTATAGACATCATAGTACCAGCAGAGTATCGGCGGCTTGGTTGAGGTTTAGGATGATCATGTTTCCCTTATAAATTATCTCTGTTATTTGCCCCATCATGAGAGCGTTCAAATAAACTTTTTTACTTCACAATTCGGGTGTGTGCATTTGTAGTAGCTGCGTGGAAATTCACATCCTTTAACATGTTTCTGGCCATATTTCCGCCAATGTATCCATCATTCTGATATTCTCTCAGCTGAAGAGGAAGGCTATTGCCTCTACCACTCAACTAAAGATGCTTGAGCCCAGGGACAACATTGCTTTT